TTGAAAATGGCCACCATTTGCCTGGAAGCCGTTTCTTTCGTCCTCTTTCCTCGGGAGCGAACGGAATAAACATTCAGATTATCTGCATCCTGCTTAACGCCGGACACGAAGCCGGGGACGGTCCGGCTGAGAAATGACTGCTTGCATTCCTTTCGGTGAGAAGCACTTTACGCCAACACATATAGGGATCGTTCGGAGTGACACGTACGAGCTGGCAGCATCGTATATTCCAAAGATTATTTCCGTCGGTGCGCGCCTATACGTTGGGGCGATCACGCGACAACGCGATACGTTCACAAAACGAACATGAGTCTTCTGTTCCCTTAAATGTGTCATCCGTTATATGTAGATAAATCGTGCTTTTCTCCGCTTATCAAATTGGAGTGTTTTTTTTTTTTTTTTTTTCTTTGAAAATGTTACACTTAAGCCAATAATTGCTAATTGCTCTTCGTCGAATTTACGAGTCTAGGATAAGAAAAAAAAATGCAAACCCGTCACTATCTTCATATCTCACAATCAGCGTCAGGTTATTTAGTATTTTCTGAAACGAATTATTAACGAATGCACGGAGAATTTTCTCTCAGAATTTATCCTAAAAATCATGATTAATCGTGGGACAGTAAGAATTTCTCTGATTAATATTACTGCAATAAAAAATATATTAATATCTACCGCAATGAAATATATGTTCGATTAATTTTATTATTAATATTTTTTTTATTGTAAATATTATCCAATTCCTTCCAATACCTTGTCCCACGATTACCATGATTTTCAGGGTAAATTCTAAATGACATTGGAAGAATTTTATAAAAAATATTTTATTTTAAAAATATTAATATGTACATAGTAAAATTAATCGAACATTTTATACCTTATTGTGATAAATATTAATATTTTATTGTGCTAAATATTAATCAGAGAAACTCTTTTAAAATTCTTTCAATATTATATTGCTATCGCACGATTACCATAATTTTCAGGGTAAATTCTAAGAGAAAATTCTCTCTGTGTGGAGATATAGTTAAGGGGAAATTATATAGGTATACCGTGAAATTGACGTAGAGCAAACTCAATTTCGCGGAAACATTTGTGTACATAGTAAAATTAATCGAACATATTTTATACTTATTGTGATAAATATTAATATTTTATTGTGCTAAATATTAATCAGAGAAACTTTTTAAAATTCTTTCAATATTATATTGCTATCGCACGATTACCATAATTTCAGGGTAAATTCTAAGAGAAAATTCTCTCTGTGTGGAGATATAATTAAGGAAAAATTATATATAGGTATACCGTGAAATTGACGTAGAGCAAAACTCAATTTCGCGGAAACATTTGTGTACATAGTAAAATTAATCGAACATATTTTATACCTTATTGTGATAAATATTAATATTTTTATTGTGCTAAATATTAATCAGAGAAACTCTTTTAAAATTCTTTCAATATTATATTGCTATCGCACGATTACCATAATTTTCAGGGTAAATTCTAAGAGAAAATTCTCTCTGTGTGGAGATATAGTTAAGAGGAAATTATATATAGGTATATCGTGCGAAATTGACGTAGAGCAAAACTCAATTTCGTGGAAACATTTGTGTATGCCTCGGCGTAGGTATGTACACGGCCATATTATCCTCGTCAGCTGTTTCCATACTCTATCGTTCTTCGCGCAGCGAGGCTCTCGGATTTTTCGAATATTCCATCAACGTACGGAAGTCGTATATTACGAACCGAGAATGTGTACGAAGGCTCGGGGCGTGCTTCGCATGCTAGCGATTACTTTTACCTTCGCCCTTTCGTCCTGGCAGGCGGTAAACGAGCAAGCCGGTCTTTTCCTTCGGCCTGCCCTCCGCGGACTCGAAGGACCACCCTTTTTTGCTCCCTCCTATCCGACCGTCGTTCTTTTCTTTTCCCCGGTGCGCGTCTACCTGCATTTTTAGCGTCGAATCAACGGATTGGTAGTCGATTACTCGTGGTAGGCGAGAATACCACAACTTCACATTTTATATGTGTAAACTTAAGTGCTCTCGCGTGTGACATATAAAGTTGCCATTTTTTTATTTCCTTTATTGTTATTAATAGTAAAAATATTATGCAGATATATGTAAGTATCTGTGTTTCAAAAATATGCGACGTGGTTTTCTTTGGTTTTAAGAAATTTTTAAAGAGCTGTTTCTTTATTTTTTTTTTTTTTAAACAACAGACGTGAATATAATTTAAATTATAGCGAAAAAACGAGAATTTATACAAACTGCGGGTAAAATATTTATAAAAGAGACATATCTATCCACAGATTATTTCAATCTTCACTTTGCTATTTTTCTTGATTGCCTAGCCATTACATTATCTGTACAAAACGTCAATTTTCATTAGATTCATCTTCTCCTACCTGCCGTTATTACACAAACTAATCTGTAAATCTCTCAATCGTGTGGATCTGGCGCCAATAAGTAGAATAAAGTGGAGGGTTGATATAAAAGTAACGTGCGCCAGGCGCCATCTACTGTCGTGATGGTATTATGGCTTTCGATTTATAACGTCACACACGAAAGGATGATTGCCTTTTGCGATGAGTGGATATCGAGGGGAAGTATTGGAGTAACTAGAATTGCTTTGACCAAAGGGCACAGGGCTCTTATCAAACAATCTCTCTTATGAAAATCATGAATGTATATCGAATTTCCAATGAGAAAGAAATTCGTTCTCTCGAGGATGAAAGATCCTTCGTATCCAGATTTTTATTACTATTTTAATATGCATTATAAAGCCATATATACTAATATAACAATATTAAGGATTCAAAGCTCCATCATGAAAATGTATATTTTTCAATATGAATTTTGAGAAAAGTTTTATACGTTTAAATTTGAAGAGAAATATCTATTTAATTAATTATTACGAATTATACTGATAGTGACAATTTATCAATATCAGTCGACAAATTAAGCTTAGGGTTAGTTACATTATACAATCGTCGGAATAACGCGAATAGACGTGTATGTAAGCAATACGTAACATTGCTTATGTTTTTCCGTAATAAATTGTCATAAAAATATTTTACTACGAGCATTATGATATGTTTCAATTAGAAACGCAAATGAATATTAACTTATACAATGGCAAGCAACGTGTTCCGATTGCTCTCCGTCGGACGGCGTTGAAATGGCGACGCAGATATTTCAGTTTAACATATTCTAACTTTTAATATTTATGCATTATTAATAGCAATAACATAATATATTGTGCAAAATTAATACAATTTTTAAACTATAATAAAACATCTTAAAACGTAGAAAAACGTTTTTTATATTAACTAACGCGTAAAAAGCACTTTAATCTTTAAATTTGTTGATATAGTATTAAAATACGTAATTTATCATAAATACATGATATTATGTATTATTATATTATGAAATATAATTTATATAATATAAAAAAATGTTTTATAAATTATGGAAATAATCGACCAAACTAGCAGATAAAATCGTTTATTCAGTTTCACGACGTTTCGACCATATGGTTGTGGTCTTTTTCAAGTGAGACTACAATAATTATTAAACATATTATTATTATAAACCAAAAACACTAAATACAATTCGCAAGTCGAAACGTCGTGAAATTGAATAAACGATTTTATCTGCTAGTTTGGTCCATTATTTCCATATAATTTATAATGAATACTAGTGACTATAATTAATAATTTGGAAAATTTTTTATATCTGCTCAATATTTTTCGAGAAATAAGAATTTATTTTTTCGAATTAATATTTATTATATTTACACAAAGTGTAATAACATTTCCATTAGGTATAATAACTATGCAATGCCACAATTGTAATGTAATTTTTATATACAGATAGAGATTTTAAATGATTCCTATAAATGTTCTTAAATAAAATTTATAATAAACACTAATAATAGAGCCATATAATATATAATGTTAATTTAATAATATATTAAACATTTTTAAAACATATAGTTAGGTATTTATTGTTAGACATAGTATACTATTATGTATTTCATAGACTGTTATATTTCAAAAAACGCGTGATGACAATTTAACTGTTCGTGCTGAAGGCCAAATGGACAATTGGGGAATCGCTATAAATCTTAAGAATTTTTTTCCCTGACAAAGGGTTCTCTTCCGCCAATACTCCAATTTTTTTCTAACGTCTCGCATTTTGCCGAGATGAATAGAGATTCAAGGCCTCGCCGCAGTGACACTGCGTTGATTTTTTTATTAGATATATGTCTTACGAATGCATCCGTAGAAACGGTTCTCAGTTTTCGTTTCGGCGACATAGCATACTGACGTCTGTTCGCACGATCAACTTATAATAATGTGAATTTGTGAACGTTTATATAAAAGAAAGTTTTATCCATAATCTGCCATGTTTACCGACGCTATCAGATTCCGACGGTTTTGTTATCGTTTCGTTACTTGGTCGACAATAATCGACAGTCAGGTGATTTGTCCACATTTGAAGCTTTAATCTGTTTATTAATATAAACATTAATATTTCTATTTAATTTTTAATCGATGCCATAAGCAAAATACGTTACATATTTTGTTTTATCTATTAAGATATAAATCGAAAATTTGTGATCTTAATTAAGTTTCCATTAAAAAATTTAATAATCCTGCAATAATAAATTTAATTATTGCAAGCGAGAGAAATAAAATTTATAAAATTGTATATAATTATTGAAAGATGCGGGGGTTTCTTTTATCATTTAAATTTAATATAATATATTGAAATATGAATCTAAATGTAGACATCTTTTTAATAATAAACACTTTGAACAATAAAATACATATTACAAAAATAATCGTAATCGCTGATCATAATGTTTTAAGTGTTATTAATTAAGAAGTATACCTAAGGTTTTCAAGATTTCTCTTATTTTTTTTCGATTATGTATGATTAATGTATAATTTATTGATATTAACGACTGTTAGACTAATAATTATATTATTTTTATTGCAGGATTCCTCATGTGGCGAAGAAGAATTGTCGTTATTGGTTCACCACCCAACTTGCAGCTTATTAAAGGTTAGTGTTATTATTATGCATAAATTTTTTAAACATTTCCAATTTGAACGCACAAGATAATGAAAGCTAAAAAAGAAATTCTTTATTTGATTATCCGAAATTTACAACATTTTTTAACAAAATAAAAATAATGAATGACATTAAAGCATGAATTAATATCTACCCATTCGATTACTACTTGAATAATTCAATTATTTTATTTTTTAATTCATTCTAATTACTTTAATTACATATTATATTACTATGTATTTATATCTTTCTTATCTTGTGTTATACATATAAAAAATGCTTTGGCTTCTTATGTATAAGTTATTTCTTATAATATTATGCACATGACTTAGAATAACGTTTAAAGACATATAAGTAAATATCTATACGTATATTTTATTGTTAGTAAAAATGCACCCGATGTGTTTTTTGTTGGTTGCAAATATTTATCGTGTAACATAGAGGATAAGACGATTTTTAAGCATTTATAATAATAGAGATATATGCAGATAAAGGAGAATATCATTATTGTTGAAAGTAATCACAATTAAATCAAAATTAAAAAATAAATTATACTTTTATTACATTTGAATTCAAATGTTTTTTTTTTAAATAAGAATATCGAGATTTCAATAGTTTTTTATGAACAATTAAAAAAAGTAGTAATAGAAAGTTTCGGCAGAAACAGAATTAGGTACATATAAATTTTTTAAAAATAAATTTTAATATTATGCGTTTTTATTCATGAAGAAAGGAACAAATCATAATCAATCGTAAATTAAAATCTAAGAAACAATAACGATTTAAGGAAATTTTCGTATTTAAAAAGAGTGAGAAATTATATACCTAAATATATTTTTATATCAAACATTACAATGTGTAAAAACATAATATTTTTGAAGCAATCTCGAAATTATCCTGATGAGCGAATACGGATATTTATAGCTAATATCTTTTTTCTCCCCCTTATAGTACTAGAATCAAATTAATCTAAGGAATAGAGATATATGATTCATCGAATTACTACTTTACTATAATATAGAAATTTAATAATATTTTTTTGTGAAAGCTATGTGTTTCTGACATTATCAGAAATCATTACGACACAGTTATAAATAAATTTTTGCTTTAAATGAAACTATAATAACGATAGAATTTTTCAATTTTATCAAATATTATGACATTGACGAAAAGTAAAAAATAAATGCGCCAATTTTTTAGTAAACTTTTGAAATAATGAAAAATTTCATTCGATATATATCTAATTTACGGAACAGTGCAATTGTTTAAATGCTTTACATAATCAAATAATCAGCAGCTTATAAAATATAATTAAAAAACCCGGCATTATATGTTACTGTATATTTATCGAATATAACGAGAGGAATATCAAAATACTTTTCTATAACGTTTTAGAAAGAATTCAGGCATAAAAGACTGCGTCATCTCTCGATGACATTTAATCGCGCTATCAGCTGATTGAGTAAGTTTGGCAATAGAATTACTCTCTAATAAATGAGATTAATCGAACAAACTGAGAAGTCCTCGAGCATCTCGATCATGTTTACCCAATGCATCCCTCATCTTATCCCTTGTGAGAACGTTAAAAGGCTCTTATCATCGTGGGGTCCGACTCATCGTGGGTCTCGATCGGAAATGCCGTGCAATTTCGTTCTGCGACACACGCGTACCGCATTCAGCGTGTGTTGCGTGATGTCCTCTCTCGGAGACTGTCGAGGGCCATTATTTACGCCCGCGCGTGTGAGATCCTCGTTTTATAAGGTGATAAAGGCAAGTCTCTCTCTCTCTCTCTCTCTCTCCGCTAGCGGCGTCCTCTCGCGCGCTGAAAGTAGTATAGGACATATGTGAGCCGACATGCAAACCGATTCCTCGGTACCGGCTCTCTCGCGTCGGACTCGCGCTTGCACGCATCCGGAGGAGAGAAACTGCTTAAAGTGTATATTCGCGTTACGAAACGACGAAGCGGCTCGTCGACACTCGCGAACGCGGCAGTCGGTTCTGCCTGTCCCTCGCGAATAGCTATCATGAAGCCATTAACTTTATTATACCGAGCTATTAACTTAAATATTACGACTCGCGTGTCGCGCACCTTCGGGCTCACTGATTTATCGCCGGGGAAGATATCGTGATGTAACCAAATCGCTTGTGTGTTCTGTCGCTCGCGATCGCCCTGGCCATCGTTCACCTGTCGAGCATCGGCAGAGCATATCGGAGATCTACGATCTAAATTTCTCGGAGTGAGATCGTACTCCAAAAGAGCGAGATTCCACTCTTTTGAAGCGATATTCCGCTCCAAGAAATTTGGAGAACGATGTTGTGGAGCGATTATTTAAGGATGCACCTAGATAAGACCGTCGAGATATCGTCGAGATTCAATTCAAATGGGAAACTTATCGATAAATCGCGTTGCGGCTTCGATCTCCAGATATTCTCGAAGAATGTCACCTAAACTTAGATAATATCGCTCTCTCAAGCAGGGTATTTTTGAAGGCTAAAGAATAAATAATGGGATATGTATTATGAATGTGGACGATTTGCGTTGTAATTGTATAAGAAAAGAGGACCAAGATTTTATATCGGATCCGTTTAAAAAGGAACAAAGAAAACGTATACCTGCTCGGACTTCGCAAGAGAAAAAAATTGCGAAAAAGGATGACACGTTTCGCTGAAAGGGTGGGTGTCTCCGATGTAGACTGGGATTTTTATATTAGTCTCAGGATTCGAAATGAGGATTTACGAGCGGGACGCAGAGAAAACATTGTTTCAAATAAGACGTCTTCGGACTAACTTTCGAGAATCCTACCTACCTACAGTACTGATCGCTTGGAGGGAAGACACTACCGCAGATAAAAGGATAAAAAATGCCCTGGGACGAAAGCGGCCGAGGAGATGCTTGGGAAGGAAGATCGCGGATTGAGAGACAGTTGTAAAAAGGATGCGTGCGAGAAGGAAAAAAAATAAAAGACGAAAATTAAGGCGGAGATGAGGAAGATAGAAGAGAGGAGATCTGCGGAACACGAGGGAGGAGATCGAGAAACGAAGAAGGTATATATGTACATATATCTTTAACAAAGAACGAAAGGGAGATCCTGAAGACAAAGAGAGCAATCTCATGGAGGAGAGGAAAAAAAGACAGAGAGAGGACGGAGTCTGATGAATATGGCTGAGGAGCGTCCCACGATGGAAGGGTTTTCCTTCGACCTATGATTGTGCTTTGGGACCCCTATAAGAATGTAAATGGAGTATATTATTCAAACGCGCGCGCGTGTGCGTCATTCGAAGATCATCGCACAAACAAAGAAAGAGGGGCGGTAACGTGTGCGCATGCGCATCAACATCTTCATGAACTTGTTATTATACCGACCAACGGATAATCAAAGAGCGGCCGCTCATATATGGCCGCATGCTGTAGTTAGCCTTTCCTTCGCTTTCCTCTTCATTCTTCCACTTGCCGCACGTTCTGTCGATCGCGGTATATCGTTTTATCGGCGATTATTCTTCCGTTTTTTTTTGTAATTTACATTCTTATTATACATTTCTCTCGAACATTCTCCCCTCGGAGTTAACCTCGCAAAGTCTTAAAAAATTGAACTTACGATTACCGCTGACCGTCTCCAATTAATTTTTGCTCCTTTCTATTATATTTTCATCCAGCTTTTTCTTCTCTGTAAATTTTTCAAAAATTTATTTATAATAGTTATGATAAAAAAATTAAAATGCGATCTCATCTCTGCTATATATCTATATAAAAAATATCGAGCTTCAATTATTTGATGTATAATAGAATGAATAGCAATAAAAACGGCAATAGTGTTACATTCACTAGAAGAAATGTAAAACTTTTGTGCATCTTTTATGTGATACAACTTCGAAACGATCTATGAATGATTCTTTTTTGTACGGATTAACGATAGACGAAATAATCGTTAAACTTGGAATAACCAAGTGCTCGCATATATGGTCTTTCGTAAATTTTCCAGCGGTAGTCTCACGTCGACGTAGCAATTTAGAAGCCCCCAGTCTTCAGCTCGTGCTTATACACATTGCACTGAATGTGCACGTCACTTACGTGCCGACGCAGCAAGAATTGTTTCGAGACGGAAACAGCTCTCTCGAATAAAATCTCAATGCATCCTTTTTATACATGTGCAAGAGAGCTTCTAAAAAAATTTATAGATACGTGTGTATAAAGAAACGATCGACAATTTAAATTTAAAATTTTTACTTAACAAAGCATTTTTTCAAGCATTCAGAAAACTTATAATAAGTTGCTGGCTTACTTGTTATAAAATTGGCTGTTTTATTTTAGAGAGAAAATGTTTTTTATTCAAACTTTATATTATAATTAATAGTAGGTATCTTGTATCGCCACTGATGAATAAAATTAAAAATAACTGTGAGACGACCCAACTGGCTTAAATTAATTCTTATTATTATTAGTTTGATGCCATATACAAGAAAAGACAACGTTTCGACCTTAGGTTTAAGTCCTTATCAAGTCTAAAATTAACATTAAAAAATACAATAGATGTACATACAAGAATTTCTATTTTTAAGAAAGCAAAGCGCAAACCAAGATTGTAATAACAAATTACAACGTACCTTGCAAAATATTTCGTGCAATATATAATTAATTTTTTCATTTTACATATTTCAATATAAAAACTGTGTCACGTAAAACGTTCAGTATGGATGGTAAAGACGAACTAAGTTAAACAGCTTTGATTATTCTATCATAGATCGGATTCAGATTCTCTGTGTCTTTCTGTAGGTTGATCGTGTTATTAAATTTTTTATAAAAAACATTTCAGCAATCTCTCTTTTCCTAGTGTTTGTTTCTCGATGTAAAATATTTAAGTTTGTCCATTTAAAGTCATGCGAAAAATCATAAAATATTTAAGTTTGTCCATTTAAAGTCATGCGAAAAATCATAAATGGACAAACTTAAATATTTTACATCGAGAAACAAACACTAGGAAAAGAGAGATTGC